TTTCTAAGAAGATTGGAATGAGGAGTTACCCTTGGGATGCGTGCTTTCAACCCTATGATCGATCAGGTCAACTACCTATGTAACAACCCGGTCCTAAATTAATAGTTAAATATTCAATTATTCAAGAAAAATGCGATTTTACCCCGAGAATATTTAAGGGTTTAAAAGTTGACTTTTTGTTCAGGAAAGAATTTGGGGATTTTAGCAGTACCATTGCGTAGAGCACATCGAGATGAGTTTGTAGACACGTAGTGGGGTCAAATTAAAGTTGTAACGAGGAAGTTACGATCCAAAATAGTCCAGTCACGCACAGACCCCCCTCGACTATTACTATTCAACCGTACGGCTCTTTGAGCTGCTGCCGCCGCAATGGTCCACCATTGGAGCTGGGACCGGTCCCAAAATGACTGGCAAGACTTCACCGTCCTTCCCCACCTCTTCTCCGACGCCAAACGCCAGCGACATCGCTGAATTTTAAAGAAGACCGACTGGTTTTCGTGAGAAAAATTCCAGCCGCTCGTTCTCCCACTTCTGACCACCATTTCCGTGATCCAGGTATGAATAGGAGAAATTTTTGCGTTTAGGGGGTTAAATAAGTGATTGAAAATCTACCGGTTTTCGGCCTCCGATTCCGGCCACTTCCGTAGACTTTTTGGGGGTAGGTCCAAGAACAAAAGTTGTTCTACTCTCTGTGGTGATCATGTAGGTATAAGTCTTGACCGGCGGTTTGGAGATTTTCCGATCGCCGGAATCGCTTTGGACCACCACGCTTTGCCGGCGAGGGTGGCGGTGTGTGGGCCACTTTTGGGCCAGTCATTGAGTCCTAAAATCATCCTCATGTCGTCCCGAGCACGACGGTATGCTCGGATATAATTTGGATATGGTTTGATCATCGATCGGATATCGCATACTAAGCGTTATCCGGGTTCGATATATTCGGGTTGTTGGATCGACTCCGATTTAATATATGTTGATCTAGGCATTCCTAGGATCGTGTAGGAATTTGCGGATCGTGAATTGGAGCCCCGGATGTTCCAATTCAATAATTTAAAGTTTGCGTTGTACGATAATCGTCTGATCGTGCGATTGTGAGCGATCCGACCGTTTGGTTTGAACCAAACTGGCAGGGTAGGTTTAGAAAAGTGTGTGGGACCTATAGGAACTTTCGAATCGTAAAGTGGAGGTCGTGGGCCCGGTTGACCAAGTTGGATAGTTTGACCCCTCGATTGACCATGAGTCGTCCGAGGTAGCTTCACCCTTTGAGAAGTACTAGAACGACCTTATTAACGAGTCTTGACTGTTAGTGGAGCTATGTTGATTTTGGAGGGATTTTGGGATTTGTCTTTATGTTATCGTATGGAATTTCTTGTATAATGGGTTTAGAGTGGAAATTGATTCGTTATGGGATTTCCTTTAAAGGTTATTACCTTGAAACCCATCATGGGTTTATATGAATATGGAATGAAAATATATATATGTATATATTTATATATATAGATTGCTAATTGTGAATATTTCTATTACTTTGATATTTGAGATTATATTATAGTACTTTATAGTATTCCTAAATGTTATTTTCGATATTTGAAGATTATGCATTATTGGAAATGGTGAAATCTCTAGGGGTTGTGGTTATTGATTGATTGATTGATCGATTATTTATTTAGTTATCTATTACTATTAAGTGCATATCTATATTTAATATATATGTATATATATATATATATATATATATATACTCAGTAGGGGAAAATGCAGAATTATGGACACTAGTTCTCAACAGTATGTAATAAATTTCAAGGTAGTTGAGAACTGATTTCTGGAAAGTTGAGAAAAGAATTTAAGTATTGTTTGTGAAATAAGAGGAATTTCAAGATAAGATTCAAAATATGGTTTTCAAACCCACCTCAGGATTATCCTCCCTCCCCCCCAGTTTCCTTGAAACAGTTTTGTCATTTATAATAATGCCCCACGAGTTTCGGGGATGCCTGAACCGTGCGGTGCGAGGATATGCATTCTCGGGCTGACTACATGTCCCCTGAGTTCTGCGAGGAACGCAGCTCAGGCTGACTAATGGTCCCCTAAGTCTTGCAAGGAATGTGGCTCGAGTTGACTTTGTGTTTCCGAGGCCTGCGAGGAATGTGGCTTGGTTGACTTTGTGTTTTCGAGGCCTGTGAGGATGTGATTGACAGGATACTTGGAATGGACGGAATATTATTGGAATTGACAGTATAATGTGGGAAATGAATAGAAAATCATGGAATTTACGGAAAATATGTGGAATTGACGGATCACAAATGGGGGTACGCCTAGGTGGAGAGTGTTTTGATTTTAAGAGGTTTAAACTAAACTGATAATTTCATTTTGGTATTTTTGAGTAGAAGTTTTAATATCTATTTTCTAATAATATGAGATAAGAATTTAAGGTTTCCAAGTTATAAGGATTTTCTACAAATCGTATCTATTCTCTTAAGGAATGGATTTGTTTTACATGTGAAAGTGGGAAGTATATTTTAATTAAATCGTTGGTAAGGTTCTAGTAGTTAATGCTATTTTAATAGTTTTCTCGTTTTCTTACTTACTCGTAACAACTTAATTAATTATATATATATATAAGTGAAAGAACTACGTGTGGCTTGATCCCTCAGAAAGGTACGTAGGCAACTTAGAGTTACTAGGTGTAGCCGCAAGTTCAAGTGTTTGAAAGGTTGTTCTACTAAGCTATTTTGAAATTTGTTAACGTACTCTTGACGTTCTAATAGTTGAGATCTGTTTTAGTTGGTAGAATGATTTATTTGGTTTAAAGAGGCCTGGGGCTAGATTGATGTGATGTTTGGTTGCATGAAGTCTATTATTGTGCATGCTGAACATTTGGGATTATAAAAATAATGTTTTACATAGGTAAAATTTTTGGGAATCGTGCGAATTACAAGGGAGACTCTGCCGAATTTTTGGCAGAAGTAAAACTTGAAGAAAAAGAAATTGGAAACTTAGAAGGGCATTTTGGTCAAGAGTGCCCAGCATCTGCCAGGTGTCGGCCACGTACAGGGTTCGGCTCAGATTCCAAAGTGGAATTTGGGTCGAGTCCTGTCAACCTAGACCTTGATTAGATTCGTGGCTTGGCATCTGAGACTTGTCAATTCTTCTCGTGCTTCACGTTACTTGCAGGTCAAGAAACTCATCTTTTGTCTTCTTGTGAAATATATTGTAACTGGGTTTGGTGGACCTTGTACACACTCTTGGCTTGTACTATGTTTGTTTAGGGTTGTGTTTAAACTCCTCATATTCTGTATCTTTGCTTTTAAACTTGGTTACTTGGAACACAAACTCTTGTAACTGTTGGGTTGGTAATGATGTAAATATTTGTATCTAACTATTTTGTTTTATTTTCCGCTATGATTGAAATACTCTGATCCAACTCATACCATTTAAAAATAAAAAAAAAGGCTTAACGTATTTTGAGAACACTTGGGTGTATGATACTTGGGCAAGTGAGTGTTGTATTCTCGAGATTCTCGAGGTACATGTCACTGTCACTTGACTTGGCCATAAGGGCGTGACAGCATGTCTGTGCTAAAGAGTTCCCTTACTCAAAAAGGTAGTGAACTCAACTCTTCTGTTGCTGCCCTGCATGGTCGCAAAGAAGCCTACTTCCGTCTTGAGAGCAAGAATGCTGATATATCCCAGTGTTATAATAAACTTATGGCCAAGTTTGACGCCTACCACAAGGCTGCTGAACAAATCCAAGTCTAAAGCTGTCATGGACGCGTACAAGTTGGACTACTTAGACTGCAAGAGTAGGGCCGCTCCTTGTCATCCTATTGAAGATGAATATATTGAGATGTTCTAACCTAACATGCTGCCTGCTCAAGGTGTGCAGATCAATGATGTGGAAATGGAGACAGCCGAGGAGCAAGTGGCTGACGAGATTGCAACCGAGGAGGATGATGCCAAGGAGGGCGCAGCTGACGAGGTGGCAGTAGACTTGGAGGAGCAGGTAGCTGGAGCTACTAAGCAGATGGTTGCATCCGATGAGCATATAGCTAAGCTAGGCAGAGCCAGGGAGGGCGTAGTTGTTCAAGCAGAAGTTGAGGAGGTTGTCGACCAGTAGATGGAGGCTCTTTTATCTTTTCAAGCTTTGTAATATGCTTTTCTGTTTGCAATAATTTGTCTTATTTGACCATCTTCTTTCCTTTGAACTTCAATTATTTCTTTAACTTCAATTCGCATTGTGTCTTGTTAATCTCTTGAGTGGTCAGCTGGAGCCTTAGTTCCGCATTTCCTTTGGGATGTTTGAATGTTTACCCGCCGCTTGCTTCAAGGATGCTCTTCTGATTTTTCCTTAGGATGCTTCAAGGCAGTCTCTCTACGTCTCCCTTCGGACGCTCCTTATGAACGATGGCTTGGTTGTCCTGCGTCTCCCTTAAGACCTTCAAGTTGTCATGTGTCTCCCTTAGGATGCTTTTATGGCGGTCATAGCGCATGGTCGGCCAGAAATAGCCAATGCTTATAACCTTTTGAATGAGTGATCTGCCCCGAGAATAGTTGTCGCACTCATCGTTGTGAATTTTGTAGAGTACCTCAAGTGTTTGAGGGTACCTTATGCATGTGAGATGAGGCAGTGGATGTAGTATCTCGCGGCTTTCTGTTGGACCTTCCTAGCTTTGAACTTATCCTTTGGCAGATTTCCATTTGCCAAGTAGTCTATTGGCAAGCCCTTCTTGAAGGCAGTGGATGTGATTCGACCCTTGAAATCTACGATGTTTGTCTTTTCTGGCTTGAATCTCTTGATGTAGTCTTGGAGGGAGTGTACTCCTTGGTAAAGATGAAAGCTAGCTCCTTTAAGCTACTCATCGATCTGGATGGCAGGGTATGGAACCAATCCTGGACTGCTCCTCGTAAGGTCATGGAAAATACCTTGCACATCAGCGCATCTTCAGCTTTGTAAAGAATCGTAACACTTTTGAAGTGCTTCAGATGGCTCTCAGGATGGGAATCCCCTTTGAATTGTGTGAAAGAAGGTGTTGGTTAGGATTGATTTTGAAGTTCTGAAACTCGTTTTACAACCTAAGTTTTTGCCTGTTTTCAACTCAAGTTTCCTGCAAGTTCCGGCCACTTTTTGACCGTGGCCCAAGAACAAAAGTTGCTCCACTAGTTGACCTGATCACGTAGGTATAGGTATTGATGGGTGTTTTGAGAATTTTCCTATCGTCAGAATTTTCTCAAGCCACGCACGCGCTGCCAGTGCGTGTGGAGGCGCGTGGGCCCTGGTTGGGTGGCCCATTTGATCTAACATATTCCCCATGTTGTCCCGAGCACGATGGTATGCTCATATTTGAATTTGGTTATCGTTTGGTAGTTGATCAGATTTACGCACATTAGGCGTTATCCAGGTTCTATATGTTCGGACCATTGGATCGACTCTATTTCCAAATATGTTGATCTAGGTACCTCTAGGATCCTGT